CATTTTCTCTTTCATCCTAGCCACTATTCTATGCTTTTTTTTTCATGTCTTTTTATTTCTATTCTCAAATTCCAAATTATGAATTTTTAAACAACAATAACAATAATTTTGAGATTTAATTTTGGAAACTAATTCACATTGATAAAGTTTAATCTATAGAGACTCTTTGAGAAAAAAAAAAAAAGTAATTTGCTAGCAATTATGAAATAGATATGTCTTGGAGATATGAAGTCTTTTATAATGATCCATGAGTTTGTCTTTGTTTAATAGATAATCTTTAAAGAAAGTATTTACATTTGAGATGAAAAAAGATTGTTTTTTTTTTTATTATTTATATAGAATATAAAATTTTAAATATTTGGTACTGCTGTAAAAAAAATGTGTGAGTAATTAAAATATGTTAAAAATAAATATAAAGTGATAAATTATTAGAAGTCTAAAGATAATATAATAATTTTTAATTCCAAAAATACTTTTTCAGCGTAAAAGCATCTCTTATGAAACCTTTTTCATTGGTTTGAATTAAAAAATCAAACTTTTAATCTGAAAATTTGTATTTTTATTTTTTAGTATTGATATTAAGTAAAAAGTAATTTTTGAACATAAAAACTATTTTCAAAAGCGAAATGTTAAATTAGACTTAGCTTAGAACCAACTGGGGTAATAACTAGGGATGAAAAGTTTGAACCAAAAAGTATTGCAGAAAGAAGACAGAAACATTGTCTTTTTCATTTACATTAAGTTCAATTTGTTGTCTCTATAATCTGGGTAAAGCCTACTCATATACTTTTATTTTATATATTTATTTACAGATTAACTTAGCTAGGCATCAACTGGGGGAAGATAATAACTAGAGACGAAAATTTTGAACCAAAAAATATTGCAGAAAGAAGACACGACATTGTGTTTTTCAATGTAACATCTGCATGCCCTGTTATTCCATCCAATCCAAAAGAAGAAAAGAAAAAAAAATCATTACTTCGACATATATATAATTGGTGTAAACATCAATCATCGATATAGCTGCGTTAAGAAGCTCGAACGAGGGGAAATGCCAATGGTTTCAGTTATCAACAGCCTGCCCAACTACCGGCGCAAAATGGTCTAAAAGTATCTTGTAAACTGAATTTCTTCTTTGTTTCCCATACTCCATTACCAGTTGTAGACAATCAACGGCCATCTTTCTTCCCTCTCGTGCTAACAGGTTTGTCGAAAGCCACGTGAAGTGACCCCACGACGCATGGCCAATTAATGCCGTCAGCCATGGTTGGGTAAACCTGTTTTGATCATCTTTGCTTCCTCCACATGGACAGATGATGAGTTGAGAGACGCCAACCAGTTGGGTTTAGCTCATGTGATAAAAATTGGTTAAATTATTAAAAGATTAGTTTTCGAATTTTATCGTTTTATTTAAATAAATTTTTATATTTTATTATACCTCAATAAATTTTTATTTTTAATGTTATCTAAATAAACTCTTGCTTCTAACAAAATATTAATAAAAATTCGATACAATCTATTAAGTTATTTGACTAAGAGTTTAGTGTCATGAGTAAATTGATTGTAATTTAGTTGATAAATCTATACTACGTATAAAACTTGTAATTGAGTTGATGTATTGACACCAACTCAATTTGAAAATTGATAAAAAGATAAATAAAATTATTTTAATAAATATAAAATTAAATATATTTGTATCTTCTCACTTAAACAAAAACTAGCTACCCATTTTAAAAAATCTCACTTTTTCTCATGTATTATTTTTTCTAAATCACAATTTTTAAATTTTTTAAAAAATATTTTTCTCACATGGTGGGTGACAGACTCTAGTTTTCATAAAATTCTACTGTAGTAACACTAATAAATAATATAAAATTAAGGATATATATGTTCTTTTAATTTTTTTATAAAAACATATATTTTAAAAAGAAACTACTCACTTCTTAAAAAACTACTAAAATTTATCAGGAAAGTTCCTTTTTTTTTTTTTAAACCTAGTTTTTTTTTTTTCAAAAACATTCACATAGTATTAGTGGTCAATTTCTAATTTAAACAAAATTTCTGAACTCAAATATTTATAGAGCTATTATTTCTTTAACAAATTAGGGAAACAAAAATCATGATAGCAATGCTACTTATCATCCCACACGAAACCGAACGTATGCATAAAGCTAAAACTGTATATAGTTTTGGACCATAGAAAAAAATAAGAAAAGAGCAGAGCAATATTTTGTGGGGATTCGAGGGATTATGACCAGGTGGACCATACAGTTTGGTAGGGGCTTTCACTTCCCAGTGGTGGATTATTCCTCATAAAGGTTAAATACCATATTTGGCTCGAGCAATTTTTTTGTTCATTATGGAAAACTCTATATCTGTTGTTTTTGTTTTCCATCTATAAATACCCTACTTGCCTTCATGGCAGGCCTTAGATAACTAGCTATACATTTTCATTCTCATCATCCCTTTTTTTTTTTTTAACACCATTTGTCTCGCGTCCTCATACGCAGATACAACCATGGTTGTTTCAGGCAAAAAAACTATGCTCCTAGTGCTTGTATCGACGTTTCTTCTTGGTTTGTTATCTGTTTCCTGTTTGGCAGAGCTTCAGCGTTTCGAACACGCTGCGAAACCTGATGGATCTCTTAGCTTCTTGGTGGTCGGAGATTGGGGAAGAAAAGGACTCTATAACCAATCTAAAGTTGCTCTTCAGGTCATTGTTTCTACTCCTTATTCTCTTTTTTAATTGTTAACTATTTTATGAAAAATTAAAATTAATTTGTATTGATAACTGTGTTTACATCTGTTAATGCTTTGGTAATTGGTATCAGTTCCAAAGCCAAAAATAAAGTAGTATTAAATCATGAATCTTTCTTTTTCGTTTGGAAGATTTATCAATACATCTAAAGCAGAATTTAATTTACCATGTCATGTTTACTTCTCTCATTCTCTTAAAAAACTAATTTGTATTTGGTAAGAGAGAAAGAGGATGGAAGGAAAGGTTGGAAAGAAAAATTATTTTCAGCTAATCCTTTCCTTCCTTTGGTATATGAAGGAAATAAGAAGAAAAAAGAATAAGTGGATTTATATTTTTTTTCAAATTTAATGTTTTTTTCATATGTGAGGAGAAAACACTCATTCCATTTAAATCAACAATTTTATCCATAAATTCATCCCTAACTTATTTTTGTTTCTTTATTTTCGATTCTTACCAAATACAACAAAAATATTTTCTTCTTTGCTCACCTTTATTTCATTGGCTCCATTTTCCTTTATTCCCACCCTATAAATGAAAAAAATGCTGAGAATAAACTTTCTACATCAATCAAGCATATAGTTCTCCACTCTAGAGAAACGGGTGTCTAAGTTTGAATGGAGGATTAATTATAATATCTAGTCAAATTAATTTAGAGCCACATCAAATCAATAATTCTTCAATAATTGAGAAAATTAGCAATGGTATCTAATAAAGTCGAATAGCATAAATGTAGATGCTAAAACTAGTAAAAAAAAATATTACCATAAAAACAATCCATAACTTGATTGTATTACTATTAGCCAGATGTAATTTCTATTTCAAGAATTGGATAAATTCTTCCTTCTTAAAATAAAAATTGGATTCAAATCCTCTTTTTTCAAAATTAAAAATATGTTATCCACTTAGAAATTATTGTTTTTATCATCTAATTTTGTTTTAGTTGATTTGGAGTGGTATGATTCCAAGTAGATACCATATTCCTTTTGCTTTAAATGTGGGTGATGGGACTATGTGAGAGCGACCATCTTTTCTGTATTATTCACTATTCGACAATTTTGCTCATATTTTAGGCTTCCACGACTCTCCGTCATGATTCATTGGCTTCCAATATTTGAACCGGAAAAATTCCAGTTTCAAACTTTGCCGGTTCTCAAGCGATCAAATCAACAACCAAAAATCAAAGCGTTTAAATCCCTTTATAATCTTGAAACAACATTATGTTTTTAACTGGACAGGTCACACTACCTTTAAATTATTCAGTATTGTCAGCCTCCTAAAGTTTTTTCTTTTTGTTGACAACGATTCTCTTTCTTTGAACAGTTCTAAAAATGTCATAACGCAAAATGAATTTTTATTAATTAAGGAAATGGTTTAAACCAGATGTGTGAAAAGCACTGCAAAATACATCATTTCACTGCACATGCACAGCCAACATTATACTATTAGCTTAGGTTGAATTGATATGGTTTTGGGCGGTTCTAGTAATTCATGATAAAGCACATCATGTGCCTCCATAGCTTTGTCTTAAGACATAAATATGATAGTAAATGAAACTATTCTTTATCCAGGTGCCACCATAGCTTTAACTGATGTCCAGAATCACCTGACATTTTACATATGTTATGTCCTCCAGATGGGAATCATTGGAGAAAAATTAGATGTTGACTTCATAATCTCAACCGGAGATAACTTTTACGACAGAGGATTGACCGGTATAGACGATCCAGCATTCCATCAATCCTTTACTGATATCTACACAGCTCCTAGCTTGCAAAAGCAATGGTACAATGGTAATATCCAATACCCTTATATATGTCACAACAGTTTGTCTATATTATTTTTTTCGCAAAAATATCAAACGAAAATTTAATTTTATTTATATTACTAACAGCTTTATGTTGGTTTCAGTGTTGGGTAATCATGATTACAGGGGTAACGTTGAGGCTCAGTTGAGTCCCATTCTTACAAAGATGGATAGCAGATGGCTTTGCTTGAGATCTTTTATCCTCAATGCTGGACCTGGTAAAACAACAAATTAAATTATATTTGCAAAGCCATGCCAATTATTAAAAAGGACAAATAATCATTTTAAAGCTCTAGTTATGTTAATTTTTTTTCTATTGTTGGCAGATATGGCAGAATTTTTCTTTGTAGACACTACTCCAATGGTGGACAAATACTTCATCGACCCAGAAGATGAAGTCTATGACTGGAAGGGCGTATTACCCAGAGAGAATTACATTAAGAATCTTTTAATGGTAATTTTTTTAATGGAAATATTCACCATTATTTAACTAATTAGTTGTTGGTCCAAAACATAACAGTTGAGTTGCTTTGCAAATTGATAAAGTGGGTGGTGTTTGATAGGAAGTGGAATCGGCTTTAAGGGAATCCACAGCAAAGTGGAAGATAGTAGTGGGTCACCATACAATCAAAAGTGCTGGACATCATGGCAACACTGTTGAGCTTGGGATTTATCTTCTCCCAATCATTCAGGTTATTTTAATACACTTACATCTAAAAAAAATGAAAATTAGATACTATATTATAAGCTTTGGAAAAACCCAAAATCAGAATTGATTTCACAACTTTTTAAAATTAATTTCCAGGCATATGATGTTGATCTTTATATCAACGGGCATGACCATTGCTTGGAGCATATTAGCAGCACTGAGAGGTATATACTAATACTATTTCATCTTTTATATCTTAAATTTTGGAAAAGGATAATCACTAAAATTGATTCTGGCCCCCCAAATGTAGTCCAATTCAATTTTTAACAAGTGGTGGAGGATCAAAGTCCTGGAGGGGTGATATTAAATGGTGGAATCCACAAGAAATGAAATTCTATTATGATGGACAAGGTTTCATGTCAGTGGAAATGACTCAGACTGAGGTTGATGTTAACTTCTATGATGTTTCTGGCAATGTTTTGCACAAATGGAGCACTTCCAAGCAGCTTTCTTCTGCAATGTAAGGAAAGTTAATCGCATTAAAACACCTTGGACGTCAATTGGTTTTCCTACATCATCTAGTAGCTATTAGAAACAAGAGTGGAAAAGGAAAAGCAGAGGAGAGAAACTTTGGTTAATCTTGGGAGCTTTGTATTTTTAGCTATATCCTTTTTTGTTTTTATTGAAATCGAATATGTTATTTGATATTACGACATTACAATTTGGTTGATTTCAAGTTAACCCAATTTCTTACTCCATGATCTGTTTTTAACTGAACAAATTTCTCGACCCTCAAATTCAAGATTAATCTACGGTCAAATTATCTTAAATCATATCATATCAAAATTCTATAATTACATTTTTATATATTATTACATTAACATAGAGTATAATTATTATATCAACATTGAAGATGACAACAACTAATTAGATAGCTAGGTATAGGCTGATTGAATTTTGAATTTCTTTTTTTTAAAAAAAAAATTGAATTTCGTATAGTGATTAGTGACTAATGAAGTCCACATGTAAAAGCACCTTTAAGTTGAAAAGAATACAATAAAGCAAGCCCCTAATTTATAGATCAGTAGATTCAGCACAGAAAAAGAACCAAAAAAAAAAAGAGAGAAAAAAGAAGAATTGGATTAATCAAAAGAAAGAAGGAACATGGAGGTGAATAATTACCAGGCATATAATTTCCTTCTATTTTAGAAGATGAACGAGGATAGTGCAGGATGAGTGGATTTTAGTTCTTAATATACAATATTCTCGAGACGTACATATTATCCAAAGAAAGTAGAGTCCATTTATTTAGGAAGACGAAATTATTACTTGTAATTGACAATATTGTTATCATGTGCTATGCACTTAGAATATATGATCAAAATTTTTATTTAAATTCTGTTTAATTGATGTTTTTATTATTTATTTTTTGTTTATTTTAGTAGAAAGTTAAAAAGAAAATTAAAAACGACACAAATAGCAAAAAGAAAAAAAAAAATCAACGAACAAGGACTTTAATTTATTTTTCCTGATCATATCTCATAATTCTACCAATCAAGTTCCTCTCATCCATTGATACAGAAATGTCAACGATGTGGAATATTTTAAAAAAAAAATTAAGCAATAGAAAAGTAACATTATTGGAAAGATGACAACTAAACCCACTTCAATTATTTTAGGTTAAGTCATTTCTTGACAATTATATGTTTATTTATCACATATATTATTATTTTTATATTAGATATTATCCAAATTTAAATTTTGATTATTAAAATTAAAATTTAATATTAATTTTACCATATATATTATACATTCAAGAATTAGTCGGTAAAACACTAGGTTTAAAACACTAATTAATTTCTTGAAATGGCTGTATTTATATCAGGAAACTGATTTTTACAGTGGGTATATGCTCCATTTTTCTCATCTGGTTCAATTATTTTGTATCATAGAATTTTCTGGTTGATTATTGCTGAAGCTGCAGTTTCCACTTGACAACTACTCCACTAAAAGCGGTATAATTCCAGGGCATATTCCGACAAACTCCTCCAAAGGGCATAATTTCCAATGTGGAATATACCATATATTATATATATCCGCTTTCCACAATCACCACAACAACTCCTAAATAGCTTACGTCAAATTAACTTGATGAATAAAGTTTATTAACAGTGTGCCAAAAAATAAAGTTTATTAATGGCCTTATAAGAATATATAATGTATTCTAATGAGTTAATAATACCATACCTCCATGAAATTTTTGTAATATTTTATTTTTATTTACTGTTTTTTAAATTAAATTTTTAGATTCATAATTTTTTAAAAATGTTTTAAATTCATTTATTTTGTACATCGTCATTAAAATATGACAAAATTAATTGAAATTTGCGTTGGACAACACATCGTTGGCCTGGCATTACCGTGATATATTTCGTTGAATTTTTCATAGTCATTGATGGAATTCATGTACTTGAAATATTTTTTAGAAAGTCAGATAAAAATTAAAGTTTAAATATATTGAATAAAAATAAAATATTATTAAAATATGAATGATTGATACATTTAACTCTTTTTTTATTGACAATGCTTTATTTTTAGTGAAAACAAGTAAAAATCAATACTAATTTATATTGTCATCTAAATAATTAATTTTTAAATTTAAGTTGTAGACATCGAATTTTATTTAAATTTTTCAGATTTTTTGAATCAAACCTCAATTTTAAATTTATCTAAGTTTTATCAGATTCTTGGGTCGAAACTCGATTTTAATCCATTTTGGTCGGTGCCTAATTTTGTTTTTTGGGCTTAAGTCCACTGTTTTTTATTTTTACTTTTATTTTATTTTTAAATATTAAAAATACAATAATATGAATATTAATTAATTAATTAATTATTAAACAATAAAAAAAACACAAAAAATAAAAAAGAGGCAAAGGGTCGGTGGGAGTGGATGCCATACAACCCCTGCAACCCTTAAGCACAGGCCACCAAACCCTTAAGCTCCCTCTATACCACCACAGTCCCCTGGAATCACTTTATGCACCTATTAAGCACTCATCCACTCGTATGCCAAGCACCTACCCCCACCCATTCTTAGGCCGACTTTTATAAAGCCTAGCCAGAAAATGAAAAAAAAGACCTAACCCTAAAAAAAAAAAAAAAGAGACTATCCAGAAATAAGAGTGTAATTAAGTCAAGTCGAGACGATACAGTGAGAAGCTCAAGCTCAAGCTCGACTTCCAACTCACGGCTTGATACTCGACTCAAACTCGATCGAATTTTATTTTTCTAACTCGAGCTTGATTCGTGATCGAAATTGAGCTACTCGAGCTCGCTCTATTAAGCTCAATTCTTATACTTGACAAGAGATCAATTATTTGTGATTGAGCTCGAAAGCTCGAACTTGAGTTCAAGATCTTTTACAACTATTTTTTATCAAACCTAATAAATATTATATTTTCAAGATAATAACAATAATAATAGCAACAACAACAACAATAATAATAAAAACTTACACAACAACCAAATTCAAGCAAATAAAAATCTCATCAAATGATTCAAATACAACACAAAAGTAAAAGACATGATGAAACTTAGAAATTAAAGTCCTAATTGAAAGAAATTAAATATCTAAGCAAATAAGTCTACAAATAAGTTACAACAAACCAACAACAATATATATGTTGCCTTCACATATTATGTCTTCAACTAAGTCCACAAATAAGTTACAACAAACCTAAAACAATACATATGTTGCCTTTACATATTATGTCTTCAAATGAACATTGGGCTCATATTGTTTTCCAACAAACCTAAACCAAGAAATAATTACAATACAAACAAATTATAATTAACAATAAGAATCATAGTAGAAGCATCCATATAAAAAAAATTATGATATTATTACAATGATCAATAACTTTAAATTTTTAACATTAGCATAAACATGGATTGTATCTTGTCAATTGCCTTATAATCAAAGCAGAAAAATATAGACAATGTCTTGTCAATTAACTTAACATAAGTTTTTGTCATTAGTTAACCTATGGTTCGTAAACTATAACGTAAAAAGCTCAATCTAGACTAGCTACCACCTATTTTTCTTTAGTAATGTTATGACAAATTAAAGGTGTTTAGTAATAATATGTCATGCATGCATAGAATACATTAGCTATCCTCACTTTAGGGGATTTTAAGTGCAATTTCAATTGATTTCTTCTCTTTCTATATAGATAAAGTAAAGAAAAATAATAGTTAAAAATTAGATTAAAGCAATGATAGTCACCCAATAACAAAATAATAATAAAAAAAGCTCACTTTGTTATTCTTCTTCTTCACGCCATGAAGATTTTGACACTAATGTCCTTCACAAAGTAATGCTTGCATTGTTCAAGAGCTAAAGAAGCGTGATAAATATCAATAACTTTACCTCCCACACTAAAGGTAGCCTCTGAAGCCACCATAATGATAGGAATAGTAAGTATATCTTGAGCTATATTGGATAAAATACGATACTTCAAAGTGCTCACTTTCGACCATTCCAAAGCATCAAACTTAGTGGAATTTACTTTACATAGATAAAGCAACCCTCAACTAGGTAGACATCTAGATCAAATTGTCGTGGTTGAGCAGTTTTAATTGATTTTACATAATTTACAAATTTAGACCAATCAGAAGAATAAGCTTTTATATTCATACCACTAATATCACTATCATGCACTTAAGTTTCAGCACTATGCTCACTACCAAATTGATACTTACGAGCATATTCCTCATAAATCTCATAAAGAGCATCTCGAACTCTAACAATATTTTCTCTTGCTTCTTTATCAAAGTATATTTGAGGAAAGCAAAACTCAACCACCTCATTTTGCACCTTGGATCCAAGATAGCTGTTCTAGCCATTAACAAATTACATTTCCCTAATACTTATAAAATTTACTCTTATTTTGTGAACCATTGCTTAAACAAATTCATTTTCATCATTTATCATTTTATCCAACAACACTTTCACATGATAAACTTTATTTAGAAATAGGTTTGAAGTTGGATAATCACTTACAAAGATGATTTTAGTGGCTGAATTAAAAACTTCTAAAATCTCACAAACTTTCTTCACCTTTTCCTAATCTTCATGACTTGGACAACATTCGTAATAAGATTCTCGTTCTTTGAGTCTTGAAAATACTTCTTTGAATTTGATTGCAATCGACAACATCTCGAATATTGAATTCCAACGTGTTTTACAATCGAAAATGAGTTTTCTATCAGGCAACTGTAATTATTGTACTATGTTAAAAAATGAGTTAAGTCTTGCTTCATTTTGATTAATAAAACTGATACTTTCATGAACATCACCAATCATATTCTTAATCTTAGAAAGACCATCTTGAACCATGATATTTAAAATGTACGCACAACACCGAATATGAAATAATTTTTCTTCATAAAGCAACCTCTTATTTCTTAAAAAGGTGTTTTTAAGAATTTTAATTGCCACATCATTGCTTAAAGCATTATCCACAGAAAGTGTAAACACCTTGTTTTCAATTATTCATTCCTTTAAACACTTAAAAATATAATCGACAATCTCAACACCGCGATGAGAAAGAGGTATGTGAACAAAACTAATAACGCGTTTTTTCAATCTCCAATTAGAATCTATAAAATGTGCTGTAAGAACCATGTACTCAATTTTTGATTACTTGACTTTTATAAATTTTTCATCAAACTAATCTTGCTGATAATTTTTAACAGT